GGGATCTTCCAGTAAAATTCACATTCCAGGGACTAAATATCACGTTATTGGGGTCGCTTCAACCCGCGGACATGAACAACAACCCGCGGAAAGTAGCCCAATTCCGCGGGAAAACCTCGGACTTGGCAACACTGCTTATGAACCGACCGCGTTTCCTTGGTTACTGCTGTAAACAAAGCAGAGTTGCGTTTTATACGAAGAAAATGCCATTGCCATCGAAACTTTTCTCAAAACAGTACCCTTCAGTGATACATTAATATAACCCCAGAAATGTAATGCATTTTTGTACTTATTTTACTGTTATTTTCGGGATCTGCTGGGACAGTGATAAGATCTACCAGTCGATCGCGATCGACGGGTTGGCAACCACTGCTCTAAGTTATATATATATATTCAACAAACTTGTGATTTCTTGTGTTTGTTGCAAAATATTTACTATGTACAATATTTTTTTTTGTACCTACATTCACTGGACACTGTTCTCCATTTTTTGATGTAGTGTCTAATGAATGATCTGTAGTGCATATATTATTGACTAATGTGTGTATGATTTGAAAGCGTTGTTTGATTTTGAGTACAGGTGAAATGGTTTTGAAGCGTTTGTTTGATTTTGGCAGAAGAGTAAGGGGTTCTGTGAATTTAGTTTGAAGGTTTCGAGAAAATGAGTAATGGTTTCGAAAAACTTTAATCAGTGGCAGTGCATTTCATTACTTATTAATTTATTTAATCTAAATGTAATTTAAATATTGCCTTAAGTTTGGGTATTGATTGCAATAAAACTAAAATTAATATTACGATTTTTGAAACAAATTTTTGTCATAACTGTACTAAGTTTGGTTAAAATTTTGCAGAAAAATGCAGCTCAATATAGCAATCCACAGACACACACACATACATGTGTATATATATATATATAGTGATATAAAAAAAAAAAGTCACATTTCAGTGACATATGAACACACAATGTTGATGTGGTCAGACCCTGAGAATGTTTCAAAGAAACAAGGAAACCACAGCTTTGTATCTCACCACTGGAAAAAGATCACAAATAAAAACCCAGCATGGTCAGAAACACACAAAACAGAAGTCTTTATTAAACATTCCTCTCATCATTCAGGGACCTGACACAACAGAAACATTTTTGTGCGTTTGACTGTATAACAACCGTTAAAGCAGTACAGGATTTGTGCTGTACGTCGTGTAGATCTGTCATCCTTTGAGTGAGAGAAGAGGCCCATCGATGTCTGTGATGCAGTACGGCTCAAAAGCAATGAACCTTTGGGCAGTGACTGAATGCAGAATCAAATAAAACGGACAGTACTGAGCGACTGGAAGAGGCTTGTGATTCTCACAACAGGTAAATAGAAGTGAACAGACTTGAGCTCTGTGCATGTCGTGTGCATAGTTGCAGTGAAACGGTTCACACTTCACTCTCAGAAGAGCGTTAAAGAGGAAGTTATTTCGGCCTACTGCACTGTTCAAAGGTTCATGGCGACGGGGCTAGCAGACGTGATGCAGAGGCAGAGCTGTTGTAAACTGGTGCAATAATGATATGCTGACACTGATCCGCCAGGGCTGAATTGGATGGAGCCTCCCAAACGTACTTGTATTTATTTTATTGAGCTAATGTTTTTATTTAAAGGGACAGTTCACACAAAATTGAAAAATCTGCCATTTACTCACTCTCATGTCATTGCAAACCTGCATGACTGACTTTCTTCTGCAGAACACACACAACCAAAAAAAAAAGCTCGTACTGATTTGGAATTAAATGAGGATGAGTAAATGATGACAAATGTCTCTGGTAATTCAGATAAGACTAAAGAACGCAACATTCTTACTTTAATAAAGCATTTATAGACAACCATAATTGTGAATTCAGTACTTGTTTGATGTTTTTAGACCTAAAAAAAAAAAAACTAGGCTAGCGGTCTCATGAATCCAGATGTCTGGCAGGGATCAGTGTGGGTTACAGAGGCAAAGTTGTTTGTGAGCTTTACTTAAAGTGATTGTCGCACAGAGGCAGTGTTGTTGTTGACAATTGTTCAATGATTGTTGCAGGAGAGCAGAGGCAGTGATGTTGTAAGGTACAGAGGAGAAGGACGCGGCGGTGGAAACATCTCAGCACATGTGACAGCTAAAGCATGACGGATGATTAGAAACAAATCTACCACTAACAGGGCTTCAAGACTGAGGTGCAGGCAAAAAAGGCATGAGGTTCTGTAAATACTCAATTACAACATTCTCAATACTTCTGAAATGATATGAATTTCTTGTGGGCATTTAGCTAAAAATACATCTTGTATTCTCTGCGAGTGATTATGTTTGGAAATATCATCTTTTATTTAATAATCTGCTAATACTGTGTGTGTGTGTGTGTGTGTGTGTGTCTGTGTGTGTGGGGAGGGGGTTGGGGGTGTCTCTGTATCTTTCGACAGTTAACAAATTACAAAATTAAAAGTAAATTAAGAAACAATATTAAAAAGCTACACAAAGGCATTTACCGCTCCTTAAAATCTTGAGATCTCATACACATCATAAATGCTGCTTGTTTACATGAGATCCTTCATTTCTTTGCCAAAACTGCCAAGTTGATCATTGTGAATACGTCTCCAAATCATTTCCTCACTGGACAAAACTGCGTGTTAACCCCATCGTACTTCACATCTTGAAGTACACGCATCGTTTTCAGTGCTAGTGTGACGTGCCCTTGTGCATGACGTGAACAGGACTGTCTTGGAGTGAACATAAACACGGTTAAGGTTGACCCACTGTTAACTCTTGAGAGAAAAGTTAAGTATTGTTCTGCATTCCACCTAAGACACAAGATTCAAATCTCATATTTCTGTCAATATAGATTTCATATATTCATATATCTTTTTTGTAAGAAAACAAAGAAACGGAACCAGAACAGCTGGAAAGTTCAAAATGTCCCTGACTTGTGGACATTTGACGTCCTAACATCCTTTAGCTTGCTTTAAGGGATTGACATTTATAAAATAACAATCACAGACCCAAGAGTATGCATCCTTCAGATGAGGAAGAGATCTTCCCTGGGCCTTCACAGTTTGTGTGATGGGAGCAGAGCTGGGAAGACACAGTGAAGAGCCGCTTCTGCACACACAGGGCATCTGTTCTGCCGTCTTCACAAACTACCGCCACGTGAAAAGCTGCAGGGCTCTGGTAGTCACTGAATCACTGGTGGTTTTAATGACAGCGTGAGTTTTGAGCAGACTCGGCCTGTGTGTAACTCAATTGGTCTTCAGCTAATGAAAGCCGGCCAGATTTACTGTTCGATTCGGGTCCGGTCAGCCCAGATCAAAGTCTACCAGAATTCTGGTTTCTGGCACTGGTCGGCTGTGGCTTATTTCTGGTTTCGAACCAGTTTCGTTCTGTACGGAGCCCTGTCTGGAGGTGAGACTCAGGGGGAGTGAGCTGAGGGGCTGCTGTGTGCTGAGCTGGGAGACAAACTGGGGCTGCAGCTTCCTGGTGGTGCTCCTTTTCCTCCTCCTCTCGCCCCACCGCCACCCTCCAGACCCTCCGAATTCTCCAGCATCTCCTGAATGAGTGGAGGCATGGAGCCGGGAATCTCCATTTTCAGAGTTATAACTCGCTCGGCTCCTGATTGAGAAAGAAATGTTCGAATGGATTCTGGTTGATTCAAACTTGATGTTCCCAGAGTGACTGTGAATCTCACCTTTAGCGCTGATGCTCCTCAGGTCTGTGATCTTCATTAGCATCTTGGGGAACATATGTGGTTTATGAGGCCTCCTCTTTCTCACGTAGATCTTTAGGGCCTCCAGCAGCGGCTCCTGAAGCACATCCACCTTATCCGACTGCTCCAGATCCTGCCGATCTGAGCACAAGTGCACAGTGGTTTATAACATCAGCTACCAAAGCATCAGCTCCCACAAGCATAAAAAAGAACAATTTCATGAGTTCTAGAGAGTTTTATTCAAACATTGTCTAAATGGAAGAAAACTGTATTATTATTAGATGATAATTCTAGCTGGTAACTTATAAATTATTATTTAAAATTAGTATTAAAAAATTCGAAATGAAAACCAAAAACAAAAAAAGTCTGTAAACAAATAGTCTGACATTAAATTTAAAAACAAACAAACAAACAAAAAAGGCCAATATTGGCTGACAACAGTTATGGGGCCAATATATTGAGCATCCATACTGTAAAACCTAAAAAAGGAAATTACAGACATTACTTGTTTGGTATACAAGTAATGTATTAGTACAAGTGAAGGGCAGTACAAATGAAAGTCAGTTTTATGTGATTACTGACTGAATGAAAAATTCATGAAGACAACATTCACAAACCAAAACATGGCCAAAAGTGTATCCGATTCAATTTGAGTCAAAAAGCTGCAGTACCTCCACACAGCAGACAGATGGCGCTGAGAAGCCCCGTCTCTGCATCATCCATCTCCAGAGGCAGGAGCTGGTTGGCGAAAGCGAAAACCAGATCTGTCAGTGGACCGAAGCCGGCATTGTGCATCTGTGTGCGGTTCAGTGTCAGACCATCTGAAAACGTCATGGTGTCCTGATCCGGTGTGTAACGTGTACATATTCGCAGAATCTGTGGAAGAAAATGAAAGACATAGATACGCTCTCAACCTACACACTGCTACAAAAGTGATGCATCTATTCATGCACTATTTAGACAAAAGAACACATATGAGTGTCGTGCTCTCACCAGGATGTCGAGACAGGCGGCCTTTAACAGGGTGATCTGATCTGCGATAGTGAGCGTGGTGAAGCCCGGCAGCTGCTTGGCGAACTCCACCGTTTTAATAATGCATTTGGTGGAGAGTTCACTGAACTTGTCCCACAGGTTAACGTCCAGAGAAACCCTGTGGTCTGCACTGTTGTTCTGTTTGAGGCCAGGACAGAGACAATGTTTGCATAGTTTGTGATTTATTTCCCCACAATTCCACAAGGATGTCACCGTTAAGAGCTTTGCCTCTGACTTACCGTGGTGTATTTGCCCAGCTGGCACAGGGAGGGGAAGGTTTCCTGATGGGCCTTCCTAACCCGCTCGATCATCTGCTCCGTATCAGGACTTAAGACGTAACTCTCCGAACACTCCTGCTTCTTCTCTTCCTTCTTCCTCTTGTTCCGGTCGTTCCGAACAGCTACAAGGACAGGAAGAAAAAGGAAAAAAAAGACCAACCATCTGATATACACACTCCACTGATGATTTTTACCAGAAGTATAAATAAGAAATAAATATCTAAATAATAAAAATAAAAAACTAATAATATATACATGCCACAAGATGGCAGTAAACGTCCAGTTTACTGTTTTTTTTTTTTTTGCTGCCTGATGAAAACAGCAGATCATACAGTTAAACCTCTTTCAAATTCAGGTTCTTCTTGCGATTCAATCATTTTGGCAGCTAATACTTAAAAAAAACAAAAAAAAACACAATGAATGAAAGAGGAGGCGGCAGATTAAGTGGGAGACCCAGAGAACATACATATATATATATATATAGACCGAGAGAGAGAGAGAGGGAACAAGGATATAGAAATAAATTTCTTGCTGTATTTCCAGAGAGAAAAGGGCTGAATAAAAAGGAACCTTTACGATTAATTAACCGTGACGTTTTAAAGCGCGGTTAATTGCTGCATCCCTATTCAGTACTATTCAAAAGTCAGCAAGAGTTTAAAGAAATTAACACTTATTCAGCAAGAACACAATAAATTGATAAAACAGTAATGCCATTTATAATTTTTTTTTCAAAGGGTTTAAATTCAAATAAATGCTTTTGAACTTTCTATTCAAAGAATCCTGAGAAAAACATTTATCACGTTTCCAAAAAATGTTAAGCAGCGCAACTGTTTTCAATATTAATAAGAAGAAATGTTTTTTAAGCAGCAAATCAGCATTTTAAAGTGATTTCTGAAGGATCATGTGACAATGAAGACTGGAGTAATGATGCTGAAAATTCAGCTTTGCCATCACAGGAATAAATTACATTGTACAATATATTAAAGCGTATTTTAAAATGCAAAACTATTCCGCAGATTTATTGCTTTTACTGTATTTTTGATTAAATGCAGCCTTGGTGAGCATAAGAGAAACTTTTAAAACTTGTACGACCATGTTTTAAAATATCTTACTGACCTCAAACTTTTGAACAGCAGTTTTTGTGATCTTACATGTTGTCAAGTTTTCAAAGATAAAGTGTGTCAGTTCAGCGCCACTTGCAATCAAAATCAGGACAATAATGCCATTGATAGGCCACAAATATAGTCCTGTGTCAATCTCATGCCATCAGCTGAATCCACATTGCTGCATAGAGCCAGTTGGGTTGCTGAAACAATCAATCTTTTGATAGTATCACAGTATTTACTCTTCAGGGAAATCTGTGAGGTATAAGTGGTTTACTTAAAGCTGTTTCTGCACATTAAACTGGGATGAGAAAATATAAATGACATTGAAGAATTGCAATCTTCACTGGTAAAAATAATCAATGTAAAATTGTGCATGTAAACGCTCTCATTGTGTTTCATCACACACACACACACACACAGATGTGCTGATGGCGTGCAGTGTGCAGAGATGAGAAATGAATGTTGGTGGTTGTTAATAACTGTGACAAACGACCTCTGCTTTCACTAAAATCCAACCTAATCTAATCACGTCACATGACAAATATCAGCCCGCTTTAAAGAGCTTTAAACGGGCTCTCCCTCTGCGCCTGCATTCCTCCCTCCTCCCTTTCTTCCCTCTCTCCGTCTCTGTTTTCCTGGAACCTCACAATCTCTCTCTTTTCTACTTCTCACAGCCTCAATCACTCCTTTATCTCATGTTTTCTTGCTGTTTTTGGGTAGGACTCCTTCCTTTGTCTAGAGATAACTCAATAGCTCTTCTTCTCCCTCCTCCACACGCACACTGAGGGAGCGAGCGAGAGGGGTGGTAAAGGATGATTCTCCCTCACTTCTCCCCACAGCCACATTTTCATTTCTCCAGAGGGAGCTGGGTGCCAGCGTGGGCTCTGAAAACACAATCTAATGGAGCCATTAAAGAACTATTAACACCCGGGAGGTAATCTTTCACAACACGACATGTGCGAAAAGACGAAACCTGCTTGCAAACAACTTTATGATGACGAGCGTGCCATCATATCCGGGCGGAGAGAATGAAATATGTAAAATAACAAATCTGGGGCAGAGATTTCATCTTGCTCTGGTAGAAAAAGCAAACTTCAGTTCAGTACAGCACAGCACAGAAAGAAAAGTGTACATACTTTCATGCTATTAACAGAACAAAAGTACATGGAAACCCATATTTATTCTTAAAAGCAAAAGCAACTAAATTAGGTCCTACTGCAACCGATACATCAGATAAAGCAATAATAAAGTGCTACTGTACAACTTGGAGAAAGCTATTAATAAAAAAAAAAAAAGCTATTAATAAAAAATGTAGCTGATATTCATTATGATATTCATTTATTGTCTTAGCACAAATACACAGACATCTCACAAACAATGTTCCCTCATACGCAGCTGCACACTTCTTATGTCGCAATCGCCACATAATTTGGCCATTTGATTGAATTCTAGTAAATGCGAAATAATTGCAGTGCTCGGGTAAACCACTATAGAGTTGGTGTCACTAGAGTAATAAACGGTGAATGTGGTTTACAGGTTTCATAGAAAGAGAATGGTGATGTGTGCTAAATCAGTCGCTGTAGAAATTGAATACTTTAAAGGTTGCGGACGAAATAGCTCAACACGAGAGGCAACGCAAAGGCATGTGAAATAAAACGTCGTTATTTTACAATAACCGTAAAATAATTCACATGTTCATGTTTTTTGAAACAGTTTTTATATTATTTTATTATAATATTATAATAAAGAATTGAACTGTTCTGAGATTTTATTAAATTATTTTTTAATGGAATTTCTTGGTAAGTAACAGCACTGTAAAAATGGTAACCTAAAATGTGCATCATTTAGTTGCATTGTTCTTATTTTCTTTATTTTTATTTGACAGTATAGTTTTTCCCTAAACATAGCACACACCGAACCGTACCGAAACCGTGACTCTAAAACCGTGTTACAAACCGAACCGTGAAAAAGTTGAACCGTTCCACCCCTAGTGTACATAGTATGTAACCACAGTGTAAGTACAATTGGTACATAGTATCTACAGCTCTAATGTTTACTGTTTTAACATGTAATATATTCCTGTGATGAAAAAGCAAACATTATGGTCCCACTTCATATTAAGTGGCCCTAATACCTGTGTACTTACATAGTAACTAGATGTGTACATTAGGGGTGGAACGGTTCGAAAAAATCGAACGGTTCAAGGCCATCTTAACGTGGGAGACAGAAGTTTGTGCTTGTGATTGACGGACATACTTCAATGATTTAATATTTTGAAGATTCACACCCCTTCTTTGGACGCGCAATTGAGGAGGAGCGCAGGAATCAGCCGACTGACACTGGTCCGGTATAATGGGCAGATGACAGGCATATCTCACATCCCACGAACGCCGAGCCAGGTATAAACCACGGTGACCATAGGAAAAAAAGTGCTGTTAGTCCTGTTACACATTTGTACTTTCATTACCAAAAAGTGTTGTTACCAATGTCCTGTTACACATTTGTACTTGCACAAACCATTCGGAGGGTTGTTACATGTGTGTAGTTACAGAAATATTACAGCTGTAGATACTATGTACCAATGTGTACTTACACTGTGGTTACATACGATGTATACATCTAGTTACTATGTAAGTACACAGGTATTAGGGCCACAATATAAAGTGGGAACGAATGTTTTTGCTCAGGTGGCCGAAATGTCCACCCAATAGAGAAAAGTTTTGCTCAGCAAGAAAAATATTACAGGGAACATTGCTCAAGACAGCAAACCTCCTCTTTTATATGCTTGTACACAAGCCTGTCACACAAACATGCTTTAACATCACTATGAAATGACAAAGGCAATCACCAGTGTGCTTTAAATAATGCTGGAAAATGGCATTTCACTGGTCATCCGTGCAGAGCACATCAGCACTCTGTCCAGTAGGTGGTGACAGCAGGATCAGAGAGACAAATGACTGACAAGAGGCCTTCCTAGCATAGTGGACTAAACATATGCTGTAGTATGCAGTTCTGGTTAAAAAAAAAAAAAGATTGTACAAAATGGTATAGTAGCAATTTCAGTCTCTTATGCTCACCAAAGCTGCATTTATTTGATCAAAAAACAGTGAAAGCAGTAATACTATTACAATATTACAATGTTATTATGTAACTTACATTCTTTAGACATGCCTACTTCCAGGCACTTCTGCAGTCGGCAGTACTGGCAGCGGTTTCGGGTGACCTTGTTGATGATACAGCTCTTCTCTCTGTGACAGGTGTACAGCATGTTCTTCTGAATGCTCCTCCGGAAAAAGCCCTGAGGAGAAAAGCAAGCACAGAGGTTTACTATAGCTGGAAGTTTACAAATGACACACGCAAGCAAATTAACACCAGCCCCCAGAAACCGGCAAGACTGAGGTGGAACGGTTATATAAAGTCACTAATGATTCACCAGTTAATCATATAGTCACATTATGCGCATCGTCACTATACACAAACACGCGAATAAACAACCATGGCATAGATGCAGCTCTCTCACACATACGCACACATTATTTCTTGGCATAATGGTCGACTGAGCTTGGTTTAGATTCAGCTGTATTATGGCTGCTGGGTATTAACTCCCAGTTCTAGTGCCCAGAGGCTCCTATTTGCTAATAGCCAGTGGGGCTCAACCCACATAGGCTCGAGCGGAGGGTTACAAATGAGAGATTCACATTATTCTCCTGATCTTAATTACTGCTTGGTCAGACTCCCGAGGGCAGAGAGTCCGTCCGAAGTCACAAACGTACACGGCAAAAGCAGAAAAGATGCAGCAGAAGCCACATACGATCAGAGAGCAGATGTCAAACAGTGATTGCATAGGCTTGTGGAAGGGATTTCAGCTGCTGTGCTGCAACCACGGCTCTCTGGCTGAGGATTAAACTGTGTAAGCTTCACTCGTGACTGCCGCTGGGCACGTGGGTATCAGCGGCGCTCTGCGCAGGATTCACTGATTAGGCCAAGCAGGAACACATTACGTGGGTTCAATGCTTCAGTGTGAATACATTTAAGAAAAAAGATCTGGAGATACTCCTAAATATTGCAGATTTGTACCTGACAAACAGGGTGAAAACATTTTATAAAACGGATTCTTCTGGACCTGGTGTTGGATTGGATAGGCCACATTCACGTTATTAACAGGGATACATAATACTACAATGAGCTGATAATTATTAAACTATTAAAATATATGTGTGACAAATTTAAACTAATTTTTATTTAGTGTTTTTAACTGTAACCATACCATTGTACGGAAGTTCTAAGAGGCCAAGGATTATAATTTTTCTTGTTTTCTCGTTATCACAACTTCAGTTTCTTGTGATCTCGACATAAAATTTGTTCTCGAAGTTACACAACTGCGTCATCAGGTGGCAGTATAGAGCTGTGTTCATATTGGCCCTGATTGACAGAGCGAAGACCTTACTTCTTTGTGATCGCTACTGTGCAGTATTGTTCGTTACCAACAATTGACTACCTTATAATTTGTAAATGCTTGAATCAATATGATTATTTTGCTTGAAAGTTCATCTGTCATTAGGTTACTACATGCATATGACAATGGTAGACTCCCAGTTCATTACGTTTCAGATTAAAAATAAATAAAAAAAATAAATAAAAAACACTTTTGTCAAGTCGTGATAAGAAAACTTTTGGGCTTTCATACTATTATCCAAAGTAAAAAAAATAAATAAATTAAAAATACTTAAAAAAAACAAATGAAAAAACCATGCACTGTTATATATTTTTATTGAATGAAGTTAACTTCATATCCAGTGAACAGTAAACAAATTAGCAAACTAAGTTAGCTAGCTTGTTCATTCGAGTTTAACTTCTGTTATTTTGCAATCTAATCAAATGTCTAAAAAGAGTATGAACGTGACTAAAACTAATAAAAACTAAAATGACAGTTTCACACAAAGACTAGACTAAAACTAAAATTAAAACAGGCCGCCAAAAACAACACTAGTCCGTGGTATATGTGACAATCCATTGAATTTTTTTTGTTGTTGTAAAATCTATGTGATAGACTGGGCTTTATTTTACCATTTGTTGTGGGGTTTATTGAAATGTGCGCTAAAGTTATGTTAACAGTTATAATTATACCGTAATCATTTTATTATTCTGTCAGAGAGAACCTTAAAGATCGTCTGTGTTGGTCTAATAAGATTATTTTGGTGTTACGGTGTGTAGGCTGATACCCATATTTCATACCGTTTCATCCAGCAAAGCTTCATCACAGAACTTGTCTTCAACTTACAAAACCAAGAGAAAGCTACAAGGACATTGGAGTTCGTTCAAAGGTAAATATTGTTAGATTTGTTTCTTCCCAGCTTTTTTTGTTGTTGTTCTCTCTTTTTTACCTCCCACCCCACCTCTCTTTCTTTATTTCTCTCAAACACAGTAGGACCCCCAATTAATCTTTACTTGCCACACCTAACATCCCATATTTCTCTATTATTACATTTTAGGCACTTCATTGGTGTGAACCACGAGAGGGAAACAAAAGCCAGCCAACTGACGGTGCTGTCGAAGAAAACAGGGCAAGGTTTTACAAAAACCGTATGAACTTTGAGTGGGACAGTATTTAGTAAGCTGAAGTAACATGTTCTGCAACTAGATGTTCATGTCAAGTCATAGCATTGTGTTCTGTTCAGTCCAGTCTCACTGGTGAAGTGTCAAAAGGGACCGATGGCCGGCCAGCCGGGGTTCGTCTTTATTTAAATTTATGTGTGTGTACTTCTAACATGTTTGGTTGGTAAAATAAATGTTGTAAATTCAAATCAGAGCGTCTTCCGTGTCTGGAATGGATGTATTCTTGAGTCTATAAGGTAACAATAATATAATAAGATAATCTTGTTTGAAATGGGTTTGGCTAAAAGAAAATTTAGGTTTCGTCTATACTGCTAGGTACTTATACTATATTGACTGGGTTAAATAGAATTGCATTTCTAAAAAGAGACTAAAATACAATTTTCATTGACTAAAACTAGACTAAATGTCATCAGTTTTCGTCGACTAAAACTAGACTAAATGTCATCAGTTTTCGTCGACTAAAACTAGACTAAAATGCTCAGACTTTTAGTTGACTAAAACTTGACTAGACTAAAAAGAGTATGAACGTGACTAAAACTAATAAAAACTAAAATGACAGTTTCACACAAAGACTAGACTAAAACTAAAATTAAAACAGGCCGCCAAAAACAACACTAGTCCGTGGTATATGTGACAATCCATTGAATTTTTTTTGTTGTTGTAAAATCTATGTGATAGACTGGGCTTTATTTTACCATTTGTTGTGGGGTTTATTGAAATGTGCGCTAAAGTTATGTTAACAGTTATAATTATACCGTAATCATTTTATTATTCTGTCAGAGAGAACCTTTAAGATCGTCTGTGTTGGTCTAATAAGATTATTTTGGTGTTACGGTGTGTAGGCTGATACCCATATTTCATACCGTTTCATCCAGCAAAGCTTCATCACAGAACTTGTCTTCAACTTACAAAACCAAGAGAAAGCTACAAGGACATTGGAGTTCGTTCAAAGGTAAATATTGTTAGATTTGTTTTGCCCCTCTTCCCAGCTTTTTTTGTTGTTGTTCTCTCTTTTTTACCTCCCACCCCACCTCTCTCTTTCTTTATTTCTCTCAAACACAGTAGGACCCCCAATTAATCTTTACTTGCCACACCTAACATCCCATATTTCTCTATTATTACATTTTAGGCACTTCATTGGTGTGAACCACGAGAGGGAAACAAAAGCCAGCCAACTGACGGTGCTGTCGAAGAAAACAGGGCAAGGTTTTACAAAAACCGTATGAACTTTGAGTGGGACAGTATTTAGTAAGCTGAAGTAACATGTTCTGCAACTAGATGTTCATGTCAAGTCATAGCATTGTGTTCTGTTCAGTCCAGTCTCACTGGTGAAGTGGAAACAGTGTTATTAATAATGCTTTAATAAAAGCCTAATGTTTTAAAGCCATCTCTTGTCTGAGCAATTTGTGTTCAAGTAATAATAAGTTGTATTTAATTTTAGAATGTACATTTTAAATCATTAGCTTCTAGCAGTGTTACAATGTTTAGATTACATTCTACAGTACTTTAATACATTTTACAGTAATAAAGAGCTTATGAAATTACAGTTGGACTTAGGGGTGGGCGATATAGCCTCAAAATTATATCACGATATTTCAAGAATATTTGCGATAATGATATTTATGACGATATAGAAAAAAAACATGGAACGTTTTATTGGTGACTGCAGCTGGCAGGCAGCAGCATTTATTAGTGCAAACTAAATGAAGGGCATTTTCCATCCTTTTCCAATAAGCTACTGTCATCGATGACAGACTACCTAATTTGAAGTGTAAATCTATTGTCATAAGGTGGCAGCAGCAGCTGTGCGTTCGACTTGAAGCAGACGATCCGTGTATGACGTCAAAATACTACGAGAGTGACTTACCCCTTACCCCTTGAGTGACTTAACGGCTCTCCGCGCCGCTTCGCTAAAGATATGCGCCTCGCCTATTTTTGACGGTAAGAGTGTGCGCTCGAATATGCTCTAGAACCGCTCTCGCGATACTTTGATGTCATACACCGATCAGTCTGCGCAGCGCTGCTGTTGTTGTGCGCACTAGAGAACGTATATCCGCCATACGTCATTGCGTCGCTATATCATTGATATCACGATATGACACTTTTTTTTTTCATGTAAAAATGTATACCGGTGTTATCGTGGACGGTATGATATGGCACACCCCTATGCAGTAGAGACGAAAATGTGGAATAAAGTCGTTATTTTTGTTTTCTTTGCGAAAAA